ATGAAAGAGAGAGTGAGAGTAAGAGGAGAGTCAGATGAGACAGGGAGAGGAGAGTGATACGAGAAGGGAGGAGAAAGAGAGGGAGATGAGAAACAGAGTGAGAGGAGAGGGGAACAGAGTCAGATGAGAAAGAGGGTGAGAGGGAAGGAGAATCAGATGAGGGGAGGAGAGGAGAAAGAGAGAGTGAGAATAAGAGGAGAGGAGTGTGAGATGAGAAAGAGAGAGTAAGAGTGGAGAGGGGTGGAGAGTGAAATGAGAAAGAGTTAGAGTGAGATGAGGAGAGGGGAGGGGAAAGGGGGGAGAGTGAGAGGAGAGGAGTGACGGGAGGAGGGGGAGAAGAGTAACACGAGAGAGGGAGAGCAGAGGAGAGGAGAAAGAGTGGGAGATGAAAAAGAGAGAGGGAGAGGAGGGGAGAGGGGAAGAGTCAGATGAGAAAGAAAGTGAGAGGAGAGGACAGGAGAGAGAGATGAGAGTGAGAGGAGAGGGGTGGAGAGTCAGAGGAGAAAGAGAGAGTGAGAGGGAGAGGAGAGAGAGGAGAGGGGAGCGGAGGAGAGGGAGCAGAGAGGAGAGGGATGACAAAGAGAGAGTGAGGGAGGGAGAGGGAAAGGGAGAAGGAGAGGTAGAGCAGAGTGAGAGGAGAGGAGTGGAAAAACTTACCTGAGAGGTCACGGACTGGCCCTTACCAAAGAGGGTCAATTTCCAGCGAGGCTTTTCCACTAAAAATACACATCAAAAGGCATGCTACAGCTTTTAAAAAACAATTATCTTTGTTAATGTGGAGAATATACACAGTAGGCTATATGCCAATTCAGAAGATTCTGCACGTACAATAGTCAGCGACATTGATGAGGCTCTTCAAGTTGTACAGCCATTTTTGCATCCCTTTCCAAATTGTTCTCTCCTGTAAGTTCACTGCCTCTTAAGTTTCTCCTCTGTTCTTTCAAGTTGCTGTTGTCAATTGGATCCCAGATAGCTAATTCTTTCATTCAGAGGGCACTATGCTCAAAAACCCTCTTTACTAGTTAAGTGCTTGGCTGCAAGGGTGTTGATGTGAACCTACAAGCCACTCCCAGGGAGAAGGGTGTGGCAGTCGCTCTGTAAATAAAATTACAGTCATGTAACTCTATCAGGCAGTTCTGCTTGGTCCTATAGGATCCTCTCCACAAGTTGGAATTGGCTCAGTGGAGATTCAGATAAATTTTGCTTGCCTTACATAATGGTTCACAGCATTTGAAAATAATAGAATATCCATTATTTGTTTTTGCTCAGTTGAATCTAATAATAGCGAACTTAAGGAGATAAACTCTCATTTTATTATTGTGAAGTCTCTTTTGAAGTATTACCTTAAGCAAATGTAATTTCAGATTTATCTTGGGGCAGGGGGGCAACAATTCAAAATGGCGAATGAGGAGGCTGGCTGGGAATGGGTGCCCAGGTCGAAGCACATAGTGGGGTCCCTGAAGTGTGCGTGTTGGAGCTCGGGAGCTGGTGTGTGTCCGCTGCGCTCGTGCCCAACAGCAGCACCAACAATACATTAAGGAGAGGGACCAGGGAAAGAAGATAGGCATGCCAACACCCACCGCATGCATGTTCCAAGACCTCAAGTAGAAACGTGGTCTGGCAGAGGAAGGGCTATTTCCCCTAAGTGCTCAGCTTTCCTGAGGAAACCGACTCCCCTCTGGGAATAAGGCAAATTTCAAATGGAAAATCTTGGACTCATCAGACAGTCCACCTTGGTAAAGGTATTTTGAAATGCCGGTACGAATTATTACACATTCTCAAGTAAAAGTGTGATCATATGACATCAAAGTTCTCCTTTAGGAATTCGAAAAATGGCCTAGAAACTCAATGGTGGTGGTCAGCGAGGTCTCAGCAGTGGCCGTTGACCCGTACTGGTCTGCAGAGGCGACTGACTCCCTCTTTGTTTTACAGCTTTTGGCTGATGCCAGCGTTCATGCTGAAAAAAATAGTCCTGGGAAACTTTTCCTCGGGCCTGGTCGACCCGGTGATGGCTGATGCCATTGACTTCATGGTGGACAGGGTAAGGATCGGGCCCTGGGTGGACCCCTCGTGTGGACAGTATGCACATGCACTTGCTTCCCGAGGGGTGACTATTTCACTTAATGTACATTAGAAGTATTTGCCGAGCTGGCACTCCTGGGCAGGGGCTCTCCAAGTCCGTTTCCCTCCAGCCTTCACCCCTAGTCCCAGGTGGGTCTGTGACCCAGACCTGGAGGCCCGTGTTAAAGAACAGCTGGGCTAGGTGGTTTGTGAGGTATCTTCCAGCACTAAGGTTTTTTGGATGCTTATCTGTCACCTTTGAGCGGTAGGAATTGGCTTGCTGTCCACAGGCTCCAGGTTGAGGGCCATGAAGTTCAGGATCCATTTGTGGAACCTTACCCAGGTGCCCTCAGTGGGGAAAATGCTGCCTCCTGAGAAAACCAGATCATGGTCCTTAAGCCCCACTGTGTCCACATCACAGGTCACATCCCCTTCTACAAGTACAGCTGGTATCTGTGGACTTAAGGTAAAATATGAAAAACAAAGGGAGTCTTAAAACTTCACCTGTGTTTCTTTCTGTAGCTGGAAAGTTTGGGTCAGAGTGAACTGGCTTCAAGATTGACCCTGAATTGCCAGAATTCTTACGTGGAACCTCATAAAATTCGGGATATCCCTGTAACCATTATGGATGTAAGTCTCCCTTTTCATCAAAATAGATCCTGTGCCTTTTAAAGGGTGTGTGTCAACATTGTCCTTGTGAGGATTTTCTCATTGTCAATATGCCTCTTCCAGTGGCTTACTTATCTTAGTTCCCCTCACCCCCACCCCCGTTCCCTCCTGCGGTCTCATTTGTAGGGGAGCCTAGGTTTTCTGGGCAGGAAATGTAAACAGAGTGGCGATCCTTCCCCGCCCTGGAGTACTTAGGGCAGGATACTTCCCTCCAGCTAGTACACGTCTGTGTAGCCAGCTGACGGTGCCACCTGAAGGCAGAGACTGGAGAATCCGTCTACTCATTAGCCCCCAAAGAATGCTTTTTAAGTGTAGCATTTTCCGTTTCTTTTTAAATCTTATTTTGTTGTTGAGAATTTCTGATAGCTTTTGGAAAAAAGCTTGTCTCTGCGTGAAACCTAACTGCATGGACACTGGCAGTGCCACCCCATGAGCAGCGTGCTGGAGAAGACTCACGCGAGCAGACCTGGCTGTTTCAGCCTGTGTCTCCCACCCAAGTACTAACCAGACCTGCCCCTGCTTAGCCTCCGAGGTCCGGCGAGATCAGGCTTGTTCAGGGTGGTGTGGCCATAGACTCTGCCTGTGTTTCTTTCAAAGGTGTTTGACCAGAGTGCACTTTCGACCGAAGCTAAAGAAGAAATGTACAAACTCTATCCCAATGCACGGAGAGCTCACCTTAAAACGGGAGGCAATTTCCCCTACCTGTGCCGGAGTGCAGAGGTGAACCTTTATGTACAGGTAAGTCCAAGCTCCACAGCAAAATGACAACTGGGAATAAAATGATGGTGGAATACCCACTGTCCAGAGCTGTAAATCTTGAATGAGAGCAGGCAGCCTCAGCTTTCTCCTGCAAAGCAACTGGTGGGTTTGAACTGCTGACCTTACTCATGGGTAATCCACTATGTCCCAGGGCTCCTTAGGGTAGATTAAGAAAACACTAATTCTCTGGGATGGAGGTGTTAACATGAGAAAGTGGTTTACATGTATGATTCACACAGGTGGTTACCATCCCTTCTCTATGGACAGTGGGCCCACAGCCACACAGTGAGGTGGCCACTTGGTAAAAAATGGCCATGCCCCTGGATACAATGAAATCAATCAAAGGTGGAGACCTAACTGAGACGGGGCTGGTTTGAGTGCCATGAAGCTGTGCCCTGACCTAATATTAATGTATTAAAAAACCACCAACACCTCAAACCATGCCTCCCCGTCGTCTACCCAAGTCAGTATTGGAAACAGCAGTGAGACGTGTTTGCGCTGGCATGCTTCAAGAATTGTCACGAACCCTCAGAAATAGTGGTGCCCTTTGGTGCACTGGAAATGTATCTTACAGAAAGGATCTTAACAGAAAAAACATGTGCCCCGGGGGGTTAGTCAGGGTGGCAGGAGCTGGAAGGTGGTCTGACTTAGTACAGTGGTGAAGGCTGCATGTGTCCATTTGGGGGGTTGGGAAAGCAAGTGTCCTGGGTGATACAGATGCTTAACTGCTGACAGCTAACCCAGGGGTGTGTTGGAAGAAAGTCCTGGTGATCTCACCAAAGATAACAGCCTGGAAAACCCTGTGGCATGCACTTCACTCTGTACTTACCAGCTCGCTCCCAGGCAGAGCCACCCCCACCAGCAGCGAAGGGTTTTGTAGGAACCTGGAGAGGAGTGAGTAACAACAAGCTAAAGTTATGATTTTTCAGAATTCTGACTTTTGTTTTCTCCGTTCTATAATTAATATGTAT